AAAGCAGACAAGAGAACTAAGTCCTATCAGTCAAGGAGAGTAGAAGGAACCTGTGTTGTTTGTCTCTGAGAACAGATTTATGGGAGTCACAATAATTGACTTAGAAGAGCTGAGGGATGAGACTTGCCCTGTCTCTTTAGGTAGAAGCCAGGTAAATAGAAAGAAGTGACAAAAGATAGAAAGTAACCAGATTTTGGTTATTTAGTTTCAATGTAAAGAAAGCTAAATTAGCACGAATGATGTAAATGGCTTTATATATTCTTTGAACAAAGCCACACAAATTGTGATGTGTGTGCATATTTAATATTTATTCTTCTAAAGAGGTAATATACTTGGGTTCTAAGGAATTTGTGGGTTGGAAAATTATGGGCCTTTTTATTCATAATTTGAAAGATAATCACTTTTCTCACTTGAATGCAACCTCTTATTTTCCTGAACAAACATTAAATCAGATCCTCCCCCCCCCCTCCTCCCTCTCTCCTTTCCTCCCTCCTTCTCTCCCTTCCTCCTGATCATAGCTTTGGGGGGATTGGGAGATTCTTTCCTCCCTCCCTCCCTCCCTCCCTTCCTTCCTTTCTTCCCTCCTTCCTTCCTTCCTTCTTTCCTTCCTTCCCTCCTTCCTTCCTTCCTTCCTTCCTTCCTTCCTTCCTTCCCCACTCCCTCCCTCCCTTGCTTCATTATTTTTTAAAATCCCCACCTGAGGACATGCCTATTGATTTTAGAGAGAGGGGAAGAAAGGGCAAGATGTGAGAGAGAAACATCAGTCGACTGTTTTTTACATGTGCCCTGACTGGGGACTGAACTTGCAATCCAGGCATGTGCCATTACTGGGAATGAACCTGTGACCTTTTGGTTTATGGGATGATGTTCCAATTAACTGAGCCACACTGGCCAGGGCTTGGGAGAGCTCAACTTAATAGTGACTCCAGTGACCCTGAAACTAATGTAACTGGCAAAAGTGTTGCCTGACTCCTAAAACAAATGCAGAAATGTTACTTGAAACAATAGAATGGTGTGTCTGCCCTGGGGTTGGATGGGGAAATCTACTGTCAGCACTTCTTGAGCACACAAGGCTTTAAAATAAAAAAGACTATTTACCAACATTTCTCATTAGCAGTGTATACTAGGGGAACTAGTTCTCTCTCAGACTACACCTATGTGCTTAGGCAAGCCCACCACCTAGCCCAATGTCCTAAAGACAGTAAACACTAAAAAATATTTAATGATGAAAAGGGAGTGGAAAGAGAATGGTGATTATGATGGCCATGAAAACAATGGATGGAGGTGATGATAATATGATAGGGATGATAATAATTCTCTTATTTTTGAAAGGTTAAGGAATAAGTGTTCATATTTTATGGTAGAATTAGGAAACTTTGCTGAAAAGCATAATTCTGGAATAGATTTTCAGTTTCCTTTCAAACAGTAAATTATTTCTGATAAAACTTAGTTCTATGTTTTATCTCATAGAGATCAGTTTTACCCTCTTTTCTATGATTCTTGTACCTTTGTCCAAAGGGCTTGGGCATCCAAACTTGGGTTGGGCTCAGAAGTGCTGCAGATACCCTGACTTTGAAGTTAAAAATTGAAGGATGCAGAGAGGAAATGGAACCAGAATTCTGATATGTGAAACATCTCAGCCATCAAAGCAAACAATGTCTAAAGCTCCATCCAGTTTCAACATCCAAGTTCATTTGTCCTCAGACTTCAAGAGGAACTCAAGGCTAGTTAATTACACTCCTGATATCTCAGTCCCTGCCCAGAATGTAAGCCCATTGTGTCACCTCTCTGCTTGTTCTTCAGGTTTGCTCTTTCTTTTCTCCTTCCTCTCTCCCAACACATCCCACTACTCTCAGAACATTAAATGCTGGTGGGAGCATTAAATATCCTAACCATAAGATAATTTGCATCCAGAAGCAGGGTGTGCCATAAAAACACCTAAAACATGTAGGTATATTGGTTTAAAATTGATCAGTGGGAAGTGAGAACTGAGACTGGAGGCTGGAAAATGCAGACCCATCTGATACATTTGGTAAAATACTCAGTAAGATAGGTCCTGCACTAACTTAGAAGGCAGATGTGTGTCCAATGAGCTTGCTACTGCACGGGGATAGGAGAAAGCAGAAAGTTAGTAGACTGTGTTGATAACTACTTGGTACACTTGTCAAAGCATTACAAGAAAGAAATGAGCTCAGGTGTGCAAGCAGAAATGAAAGGGCATAGAAGAGAAACTCAGATTTCTCTACTCACTCACAGTTGCAAGGATCTTTAAATGTTTCTTTAATCATCACACAAACCCTATGAAATTATATTATTAGTGACATTTTACAGATAAGGGAAAAGTTACCTAGAAAGTAAGTAATTTGTCCAAGCTCAGCTGGTAAGTGGAAGAACCTGGAACTGAAGGCTTGCTATCTTTTTTATTTTTTCCCCAAATCAAGTCTTCATCCATCACCCTTTATCCCCCTATATCTTTCTCTATCTCCCCCTACCTCCCCAGGGGACTTGTTATTTAAAATCCAAAGTCTTCCTTTTAACTAAGTATTCTGGTTAATCCACAGAATTCATTAAGAACTCTGACATCTGGATTACAGCAATCCTTCTACACTAACTCCTGTCTATCTGCATATTTTAAATCTGTATGTGGACAATCCCTCCAACTCCCAAGTTTTCTTGACATCCTTTATATAATGATTTTTACCTCCAAACCCCCTCACCATCTCACTCACAGGGTCTTTCATTAATCTTTCTCTACCTTCAAACAACTAACAACCACAATCCCATTTTGTACACGCAACTACCAAATTTCCTCCCTCCCTAAATACCTCATTCTTAATATTTCTGCTCTTGTTCTTCCACTTTCTCTCTATCTATTATTCACCACCTGGCTTCTCTCCATTAAAGAAAAAAATCTATTTAGGACCTGTGCTATCTGGTGACTAGTTTGAATTTCTCTCTTGCCAGAAATTGCAACTCTCTTGCCCCCTGTTTTCTACTGCATCTGCTTATGAAACTTGCAACCCTGGACCAATATAACCATCTGTGTACTAAGGTCATTTATTGGAGAAAATGGAACAATTTTGCCCATTGGGAAACTCCAAATTATGGATTCCAATTATGTCAGTTGCAAAGATGATCTCTTGGCTCTAAATCCACCTTTGCATACTTTGCTCTGAGAGATACAAGTTTCTTTGGTGGAGCTGAGACACTGCAAACTGTGTTTTCTCCATCCTGTAGTTCATCCCTAACGAATAGTGGAGCTTGGGCATCTGTGAACCTTTGTGATACTCCAACTTCTTTCATGGTAATACAAACTCTCATCATTTCATTCCATTATTTTTGAAAGCTATATGATAGAGTAGTTATATAATAGAGTAGAATAAAATAAGTAAAGTTTATTTTAGATGGGAATATTAAAATTGTAGTATCTTTAATGCATTCTAAATGTAAATGGTCTACAAGTATTTAGTAAGAAATATACATTGTTTACTTAAATTTATGTTAGAGTAATGTTTTTCAAGAAATATCATGAAAAATGATATTATCTTGTGTTTGATTTTTAGAATAAAATAAATATTTAAGTGTAGGTTAATTTTAAAATTTTAAATAAGTTTTGAACCTTCCCAGTAATTGTAAAAATGGGAACTCTCCCCATTCTGACCACCCAAAGAACGAGTGGCAGACATAATGCCCTGTCACATTATTTGGAGAGATCTAAAACATAAATAGAAGAAAATGTGTGTGTGTGTGTGTGTGTGTGTGTATGTTTAAAAAAATCTGATGTTTGCAGTTCTTGCATTTTGTGCTTTAAATGAAAAGTAATTCCTCTATTTTGTATTTTTTGGTGCATTTTGTTTCCATGTCATTAGATACAAAAATTTTCTGCCTGCTATTTTGTGAGCCCTTCTCTTGTAATGCTTTATAGGTACGGGTAACCTCTATTTCCAATTAATTAAAAATTTAAGGTAATTGTTACTTTATTTCATCTTCTTTACTTTATTTTTAAAGTATTGGGGACATCTTGGGGTGCTATAAAAATCTTACCAGGTGAATGCAATTTAGAATTCTGGAAAAAATCATTTTTGTGGTAAAATTCGAGAATTATCAGTTTTATGCACTTTTTAAAATTTGGTGTTAGTGTCAATGTTCCTTTAACTTCCTGAGTACAATCAACAGTCTATTATGGGTGTAAATTAAGCAGCTGAATACTAAAAACCACAGTAACTCTATGACTGTTATTGAGTACATGCACTCTGACAGCTGCCCATAGTCTGCTCTGTGGGAAACTGGATTATGGGTGTTCTCTTTCATCTCCACTACTGTTGTTACCTATGACTAGTCGAATCATATCTGGAAAACTCTCAAAATGCTGTTAATTATTTTATTTATTGATTTTTTAAAAAAGTAGAAATTGAAACATGTCATTATTGCTTTCAATGAAATAAACCCTATGAATCCGCTTTGGAATCTAAGAAAAGCATAAGTATGAAGAAACACAGAGCTTTGCCCACAACTTTAGAAGGCTCATACACTTTAGGTTACGCCCTCTCATTAAACTGGTGGTTTCTATGGTTTGTATGTGAAGTTAGAAACTGGCACAAAATGATTAAATTCCACACCAGTAAAAGATCAGAGATTCACTTTCATTTTCAGTTCCCTCTAGGAGAAGAGATTTATGGGAACAAATTTACTTCTGAAAACATAGCTTAATTCTGATCACCTTCAAGATGTAAAAAAATTGATTAAAATGTTGTTTCAACAAGTACTATTTTTAAAAAGTGATTTCAAATTGGGCTTCAATTTGTCTGTTAGACAGCAAGCTAAGTCTGAAAGAGGGACAAAATTTTGGGCTTTAGGCACCGCCAGGTGCTGAATGTACTGAGAGCTTGTCGCAGCCCTGGGATATTTGATGGCGAGCATCCTGGCTTTTTAATAGGGTGACCTGATGATTCTCTGATTCTATATGAAAGTGACTGTCAAATCGAGCTGATCAATTTGAGATGTGCTCAGCAATAAGAGGAAAGTCAGATTTCAGATTTTGTCCAGAGTGCCTGGTGGGCTTCTGCTGTGAGCAGAAGCTGGTTCCATTTAGTAGTGCTAGTCCAATCAGAAACCTCAGGAAAGAGACTGATCTTGGCTTAAAAATCAGCAAAGCCAATTACTCAGGTCAAAGAAGGTGAGATAATAATTAGTTAATTATAAATAAAGTCTTACAGATTAAATAATTATGAAGAATAAAATAAACTTTTAAAAATATTTATTTTTCATCACCATTTATCTCCCCATGACTTCTTCTACCTCCACCATTCTTCCTCCTCCCACAATTACCACACTTTTGTTTATGTCCATGAGTTCTTTCTTGATTCTTTCCTTTTTTGCTCAATTCCTCCATCCCCCTAACCCTCCCCAGAACAGTCAGCTTGTTCTCTATTTTTCAGTCTGCCTCTATTTTGCTTGTTAGTTCAGTTTGTTCATTAGATTCCACATATGAGTAAAATTAGATGGTATTTTTCTTTCTATGACTGGCTTATTTCACTTAGCATAATGCTCACCAGGTCCATTCATGGTGTTGCAAAGGATAAAATTTTCTTCTTTTTTACAGGTGAATAGAACTCCACTGTGCAAATGTACTATAGCTATTTTATCCACTCATATACTGTTGGATACTGGGACTGCTGAAAATAAACTTTAATAACTTTAAAAGGTATATAATTAATTATTTTGTACCTCAATAAATATTTAAAATATAAAATTAGCTTATTATTAAATAATTAAAACCAGTACTAAATCTATTGTGTGTCAAATGTTATTCTACATTTTTGCATATATCTTATTTAATTTTTATGTCTTCTCAGGAAATCATTGGCTTTACCATTTTCTAAGTGAAGAAACTGAGGCTAATAATTAAAACCACATAGCTGTGAGGTGATGCAGCAGAAATCTAACCCAGGATGTGCTGGTGACTCCAAATCCAAAGAAAGTATTTTTTACTCTTTGTGCTGCTTCCCTGTAGGGCCTGAATGGTAAATTTATGGCGCTTATATTAGAATTAGTCATATTAATACTATTTGCATTGTGCTTACAAATCTTAGTGGCTTAACAATACAGTAGAGCTTTATTTCTCATTCATATAAATCTCAAAGGAGAAGGTGCTTAGGGTGCAGTCATCAGAACCATGTTGATGGTGGCTCTGCTACCTTCAACATGTGGCTGGTTCTAATGTTACTGGAGATGCTGACATTTGGGCTGCCAGACTTAGTAAATAAAAATACTGGACACTGTTGGAGGAGGTCATTGAGAGGAAATAATCACTAATTGCCCTGTGAGCTAGACCTGGGCACAGAGGGTTACCCACCCTCTCCCCTGTTCTTGGAAGGTACTGTTCTGACTGCTCTTCTCACAGGGGGAGCTGATTTCAAGGACGCTTCCTTTAGAGAGCAAGGTGTTGTTGAGAACATCTGGACAGCATAAATGAATGAACCCAGTTAAAGCTTCTTGATCAATTTCAAGATTCTGGTGGGTGGGTGCAGACATCTACTTGTTTTGTGTCATGCTGAAGCCAAATCTGGTAAATTACCTTGCTTATTAAACCTACCACTACCAACCTGGAGTGTTATGTCTCTTTCTTCAGTCTCTCCTTGCTCTCAGTGTACAGAGGCCAGTCTGTGAACCAGTATACAGCAGTTAAATTAGAATTTGACTTTATATCCTGCTGTTTTGCCAAATTCACTTATTAGGTTGAATAGGTTTTTTGGTGGTCTACAGGATTGTCTATGTACTTTGTCATATCATCTGCAAACAAGAGTTTTGCTTCCTTCTTTCCAATTTGGATGCGTTTTATTTCTTTTTCTTCTTTGATCACTGCGTCTGGGACTTCCAATGCTATGCTGAATAGAACTGGTGAAAGCAGTCACCCTTGTCTTGTTCGCAACCTGAGTCAGAAAGCTTTTAGTTTTTGCCTATTGAGTATGATGTTGGCTGTAAGTTTCCAGTATATGGCCTTTATTATGTTGAGGCATGCTCCCTCTACTCCCACTTTGCTGAGTGCTTTTATCATAAATGGGTGCTGTACCTTATCAAATGCATTTTCCACATCTATTGATATGATCATGTGATTTTTGTCTTTCCTTTTGTTTATGTGATGCATTATACTTACTGATTTGCAAATATACTATCCTTGCACCCCTGGGATGAATCCCACTTGATCATGGTGTATGCTCTTTTTAATGTATGCTGGATGCAGTTTGCCAATATTTTGTTGAGGATTTTAGCGTCTATGTTCATCAGTGATATTGGCCTGCACTTTTCTTTGTTTGTTGTGTCTTTGTCTGGTTTTAGGATTAGGATGATTGTGGCTTCAGAAAAAGAGTTAGGGAGTCTTTCATTTTCTTGGATTTTTTTGGAATAGTCTGTGAAGGATAGGGGTTAGCTCTTTCTTAAATGCTCTATACAATTCTCCTGTGAAACCATTTGATCCAGGGATTTTCCATGTTGGAAGTTTTCTAATTACTGCTTCAATTTTTCCAGCTGTTATTGATCTGTTCAGGCTTTCTGCTTCTTCTTCATTGAATTTTGGAAGATTGTATTTTTCTAGAAATTTATCCATTTCACTTAGGTTTTCAAATTTCTTGGCATATAGTTCTTTGTAGTAATTTCTTACAATCCTTTGTATTTCTGTGGTATCAGTTGTAATCTCTCCTCATTCATTTCTAATTGTGTTTATTTGGTTCCTCTCTCTTTTTTTCTTGATGAGTGTCCTTAAAAGCTTGTTGATTTTGTTAGTTTTTTTCAAAGAACCAGCTCATGGATTTATTGGTCCTTAGAATTGTTCTTTTAGTCTCTATGTCATTTAATTCTGCTCTGATCTTGGTTATTTCCTTCCTTCTGCTTGCTCAGGGCTTCATTTGTTTTTGTTCCCCCTGTTCTTTTAGATGTAAAATTAGGCTGTTTATATAAGTGTTTCCATATTTTTCAGGTAGGCCTGTATTGCTATGAACTTCTCTCTCAGGACTGCCTTCACTGTGTCCCATAAGTTTTGGATTGTGATGAGTTCATTTTCATTTGTTCCCAGAAACTTTTTGATTTCTGCCTTGATCTCATTCTTAACCCATTCATTGCTAATAGCATGCTATTCAATGTCCATGAAATTTGAGTGTTTCTGAGTTTTTTCCTTCAGGTTGGTTTCTAGTTTCAGGCCCTTGTTGTCTGAGAAAATGCTTAATATGAATGATCAGAAATCCAAGGCATTTTTGTATACCAACAATGAAATATCAGAAACAGAAATCAAGAAAAAAATCCCATTTGATATAGCAACAAGAAAAATAAAGTACCAAGGAATAAATCTAACCAAGGAGGTAAAAGACCTGTACCCAGAAAACTACACAACACTGAAGAAAGAAATTAAGGAGGACACAAATAAATGGAAGTACATACTGTGTTCATGGATTGGAAGAATTAACATCATCAAAATGTCCATACTACCCAAAGCAATTTACAGATTCAATGTAATCTGTATTAAAATACCAATGACATATATCACAGACATGGAACAAACATTTCAAAAATTTATATGGAACTATAAATGTCCCCAAATACCTGCAACAATTTTGAGAAAGAAGAACAAAGTAGGAGGAATCACAATACCTGACATCATACTATATTACAAGGCCACTGTAATCAAAACAGTCTGGTACTGAAGAGAAACAGATACATAGATCAATGGAATGAAATAGAGAAGCTAGAAATAAGCCCAAGTCTCTATGGTCAATTAATATTTGACAAAGGGGCAGAAGCATAAAATGGAGTAAAATAGCCTCTTCAAAAAATGATGTTGGGTGATCTGGGCAGCTACATGCAAAAAAATGAAACTTGACCACCAACTTACACCACACACAAAAATAACCTCAAGATGGATAAAAGACTTAAATATAAGTCATGACACGATAAAAGTCCTAGAGGAGAAGATAGTCAGGAAAATCTCAGATATTTCACACAGCAATATTTTCACCAATATGTTCCCTAGAGCAAGGGACATAAATGTAAGAATAAACAAATGGGATCTCATCAAAATATAAAGCTTCTGCATGGCTAAAGAAGACAGCAAAACGACTATAGAACCAACCATAAGGGAAAATACATTTGCAAATGCTAAGGGTTTGATCTCCAAAATATATAAAGGACTCACTCAACTCCACTCCAGGAAGACAAACAACTCAATTAAAAAATGGGTAAGGGACTTGAACAGACACTTCTCCAAGGAGGACATATAGAGGGCCCAGAGACATATGAAAGGATGCTCAGCATCACTAGCCATCAGAGAGATGAGAATTAAAACCACAATGAGATACCACTTTACACTGCTCAGAATGACCATCATAACCAAATCAATGAACAATAAGTCCTGGCAAGGCTGTGGAGAGAAGGGAACCCCAGTGCACTCTTGGGGGGAATGCAGAGTGGTGCATTCCCACTGTGGAAGACAGTATGGAATTTCCTCAGAAAGTAAAAATGGAATTTCCTTTTGACCTAGCAATTGTCCTGCTGGAATTATACCCTAAGAATTCTGGAACACCAATTCAAAAGAGTCTATGCATCCTAATGTTCATAGTAGCACAATTTATAATAGCCAAGTGTTGGAAGCAACCTAAGTGCCCATCAGTAAGTGAGAGGATCAAAAAACTATGGTACATTTACACAATGAAATTCTATGCAGCAGAAAGAAAGAAGGAGCTCCTACCCTTTGTGACAGCATGAATGGAACTGGACATTATGCTAAGTGAAGTAAGCCAGATCTTGAAAAACAAAGACCATATGATCTCACCTATAACTGGAACCTAATCAATAAAGCAAAGAAGCAAGCAAAGTATAACCAGAGGCACTGAAATAGAGAACAAAGTGACAGTAACCAGAGGAAGGTGGGAGGAGATAATGGGGGCTGGGGGAAAGGGGAAGGGTCATTCATGGAACAAGTATAAAGGACCCATGAACAAAGCCAAAGGGGTAGGATCAGGGGTGGGAAGTGGGGATAGGTGGGGCAGGGGGGAAGTGGTAGTGGAAAGGAAGAAAAAAATGGAGACAACTGTACTTGAACAACAATAAAAAGAAGAAAATGAAAAAATCTCCTATATCTAAAAGATGTGATAATTTTTCCATCAACACATTTTTAAAAACCAAAAAAGAATTTAAGACAAACTTCTAAATATAAACATGGCCCATGTAATACAAATATTTGGGACTTTCATATTTTTGATGTATTTCAATTCTCTAAATCTGGCAACCTGAGTGTCAACACCCATGATAAGTATAAGTATGTCCCAAATATTGAATGGGATGTAGTTACAATGAAACATTATTTGTTGTTTTTCTGAAATTCAAGTTTAACTCAATGTCCTGAATTTTATCTGGCAACCCCAGTTGACACCAAATGGAAGATGGAATGGCAGCTGAGCAGGGCAGATATCTGAGAATGTTTATTTGTGGCTAGATCTGACATCAGCTCTCCCATATTCCCTTGGTAACAACCTGTCTGTATTCTAGCCTCAACTTAGATGTAAGGGGGTTTAAAAATGTAGTTCTTGTGTAGACAAATATCAACATCAATGTTTTGCATTGGACATTGGCAGCTAACCATCTCTGTCTCAGCATGCAAACAGGTATAACATGTGCAGGTAGACCTGTGTCTGCAAAGAAGCAGCATGGTAATTGAGCATATTGTCCTGATAAATACTTAAACTGTAGGCCAGTTACTAACTAGCTATGAGGCTCGAGAAAATTACTTTACCTCTCTGAGCCTCTGTTTTGTCATTGATCAAATGCAGATAATATAGAGCATCCTTAGTTTTTATGAGGATTAGTTCAGATAACCCATGTGCAGTACTTTGCACAGTGTCTGCTAGAACATGATGTTAGCTACTATGAGTCACAGAATAGAAGTATTTGTCAGTATATTTACTTTGTCTTTTTCTGTTCCTAATGTTTCCTCATGGCTAAAAGAAACTAAACATTACTTTTAAAACCAACATCCCAGAACTGGTAAGAACTGGTTTTTAGATGTTTGTTTTGTGAATTATGGGTGTAAACATAATAATTATTAAAAAATACATATAATAGTAGTAAAAGTATGCCTTGTATTGGTAATAATTAAAGATATAGATAGGCTGAATATCTGCTTGGGTAAAAAATCATTCTCAGGGCAGAAATATATTAAAATAAATGACAAATAATGTGTATGCATTAATTATGAGATGTAAATATTTACCTAGACAGTCTTTTCACACACACAATTATTTCTCTCACTTCTCTTTGCATGGCCTTATAACTTTCTGAGCACGCTTAGTACTTGGAAGTAAAATTATGCCATTCTTTAAATGATGGATCTTATGAAGACTTATCTGTCAAGTAGCCAGCTGTGTTATGGCAGGTCATTGAGATTCTTTCTCCTCTTAGTTTAATTTACTTTTGAAGAGAGATGGCTGGCAAGGTTTAAGGAAGCACGATAAAGACTAATTAAAGAGTTGTTCCTCAAATCTCCTTGAAATTAGAGGTTGATTCACTGAAATAATTCATATTTCATGACCCAAAATAAGCAAAACTTTGAATCTTAGCAAGAAAATTGAAGAACTATATGGATTACCCAATTCTTTGCTGTGGAATTGTGCAATTGAATTTAGAATATAATGGAATTTGTGTTTCCAATTAAACCAACTGAGCACAGCTTCACATCATAGAATGAAATTAGACCATAACTCCCTCTAATTAGTTTGGATCGTAATATTTTTTTGTACTTAATCATGCCTTTTAGTCAAGAATTCCAAAATTCTTAGAGTAAAGTCTAGTGTCCAATGTCATTGGGGGTAGTTTTTGAGAGGGGGAAGTTAACAGGTACAATGACAAAAGAGATGATCCCTAAAGTGTTTTTTAAATTGTTGGGGAGGTATTGGAGCTACTTTGTAACTGCTACATTTAGATTTTTACCAGGTTTTATTGGAGCTACCTTGTCACATTATTCCAGGGTGCAGAAACAAGAGGGAACACTGCCCAGAGGGGATCCTGGGCATGGGTATGAACTAGGCAGAACTGGATGGTGCAACTAAAAGAATCTCCTGAACTGTATTCAAAGTGCCTTCAACTACTGTCTAGGACATATTTGCATGATACCTCTTTTCTTTCCATGAAATGGACTGGGAAATTGATGCTAGAGAACCAAAAGAGTGGTGAAGAGATGAGAGGACTACTCATCATTGAGGCAAGTGGATTTTGTTCAAATTACCCAGTTGATTGCATTTCCAGGCTTCCATTTAATTTTTCAGAATCTAATTTGTGAGCTTTTTAAAATCAAAAGGTTAGGGTGGTAGTGGGAGGTGGGTAGGTAAGTGAACCAGGTCCGGCCACTTCAGGTTCACCTTGCCTCCCACTTCTGTTCTGCTGGGAGAGGGGCCCACCATCCCGCAGTATCAGACCTGCAAGAAGTTCAGTCTCCAAGCCAAGAAACTCTACCTTGCCAACCTTATGAAAGCAAGTGTGGTTCTCAAATATAGGCATTCTATAGGTATTAAAGTAACAGATGGTTTAGTTTGCTTGGTGTATAGACCAGACAAGGTTCAAGATGTAAAGAAGATTGAGAAATTCCATGGTCAACTGATGCAACTTTTGGTAGCCAAGAAATCCTACAGTGTTACTATGGAAACAGACCATCTGGATTTGAAATGAAGATGCTTGTGATGTTCTTTTTTTAAATATAATTTTTATTTTACAATTACATTTGACATAGATTATTATATTATATTAGTTTTAGGTGTACATCCCAGTGATTAGACATTACATAACTTACTAAGTGATTATTCTGATAAATCTTGCACTGACACCATACAAAGTTTTTAAAATATTATTGACTATATTCCCTATGATGCATTTTACATCCCCATGACTATTTGGTAACTACCAATTTATACCTCTTATTCCCTTCACCTTTTTCATCCAGTCCTTCAACCCCTCTCTCATCCGGCAACTACCAAAATGTTTTCTGCATCTATGAATCTGTTTCTGTTCTGCTTGCTCATTTATTTTGATTTTTAGATTCAATTCTTGATATGGACATGTGTTTACTCCAATTTTGTTGTTCAAATTTTTTATCTTTTTCCCCTTCTTCTTCTTAAGGTTCTTGTTTTTCATTACTTTGAATATTTTATGCTAATCTCTTTTGTCCTGCAAAGTTTTTGCTGAGAAATCAGCTGAACTGATTTCTATGGGAACTCCCCTGTGCGTAACTAACTGCTTTTCCATTGTTGTTTTTATGATTCTATTTTTGTCTTTAACCTTTGGCATTTTCAATGTGGTGTGTCTTGGTGTGGGCCTCTGTTAGTTCATCTTGTTTGGGACTCTTTGTGCATCCTGGACTTGTATGTCTAATTTCCTTTACCAGGTTAGGAATGTTTTCTGTCATTGTTTCAAACAGGTTTCCAGTTTCTTGCTCTTAGTCTTTTCTTTGTAGCATCCCCATTATACAAATGTTGTTACACTTGAAGTTGTCCCAGAGGCTTTTTACACTATCCTCATTCTTTTTATTCATTTTTTTTGGTGCTGTTCTGTTGGGTGTTTTTTGCTTCTTTATATTCCAAATCGCTAATTTGATTCTCAGCTCCATCTACTCTACTGTTGACTCCCTATAAATTATTCTTCATTTTAGTTAGTGTATCCTTCCCTTCTGACTTATCCTTGTTTCATGCTGTTGAGGTTCTCACTAGTTCACTGAGGATCTCTGTAACCTGTGTTTTGAAATCTGCATCTTGTAGATTGCTTGTCTCCATTTTGTTAGCTCCTTTTCTGGAGTGTCATTCTGTTCCCTCATTTGGGACATGTTTCTTTGTTTCCTTACTTTGGCAGCCTCCATGTATTTGTTTATGTATTAAGAGGAGCTTCTGCATTTCCCAGGCTTGATAGCATGCCTTTTATGTAGTAGGTGTTCTATAGGGATCAGTGGCACAGCCTCCCTGATCACCCAAACTGGGCATTCAAAGTGAGCCCTTCCCCAATGTGGTTGTGTACACCCTCCTTTTGTAGTTGAGCCTTGATTGTTGGCATGTGAATGGGAGAGATTTACCTCTAGGCCAACCAGCTGTAAGGGCTGGCTGTGACCACCAATCACTGATCTTCAGCCACCATGCATGATCAGCTGTACAGGGGCCCATCTCACAGAGCAGGACTTACTTCTGCAGGGCACAGGTGCCCACTGAGTTTGCTCCTTGACTGTGTCTCTTGTAGATTATGTTGTGTAGTACTTCAACATGGTCTGACGCTGTCCACTGAATGTGCTGTCTCTGGGGCCTCCCTGGAGGTGCAGACCAAGGTCAGGTACCAACTGTGTTCTGCCCAGGACCACATGGAATGGACTACAAAGCAATCTGCAGATGACTGCTACTTGTGCTGGGCATGGAGGTGCCTAGGAGAGGTCAACCTGTGAACCAAGGCTTGCTGCTGCTAGTTCCAGGCCTGGGGCCTCCTAACAAGGCATACAAGATATTCCAAGGCCAGATAATGTTTATCTGAGAGATTTTAATTTTTAGTGTTATTTTATTTATTTTTATTATTTATTTTTAAAATATGTTATTGATTATGTTATCACAGCTGTCCCATTTTCCCCACTTTACTCCCACTGCCCTGTATCTCCCTCCCCTTAGTTCATGTCCATGGGTCACACATAAGATCTTTGGCTTCTCTATTTCCTATACTATTGTTAACCTCCCCTTATCTATTTTGTACTGATCATTTATGCCTCTTATTCCCTGTGCCTTTCCCCTGATTCTTCCCACTGATAACCCTCCATGTGATCTCCATTTCTGTAATTCTGTTCCTCATCCAGCTGTTTGCTTAGTTTGTTTTTGTTTTTAGGTTCAGTTGTTGATAGTTGTGAGTTTGTTGTCATTTTGCTGTTCATAGTTTTGATCATCTTCTTTTTCTTAAATAAGTCCCTTTAATATTTCATATAATGAAGGCATGGTGATGATGAACTCCTTTAACTTGACCTTCTCTGGGAAGCACTTTATCTACCCCTCCATTCTATATAATAGCTTTGCTGAATAGAATAACCTTGGATATAGATCCTTGCCTTCCATGACTTTGAATACTTCTTTCCAGCCCCTTCTTGCCTGGAAGGTTTCTTCTGAGAAATCAGCTGATAGTCTTGTGGGAACTCCTTTGTAGGCAACTGTCTCCTTTTCTCTTTCTGCTTTTAAGATTCTCTCCTTATCTTTAATCTTGGCTAATGTAATGATAATGTGACTTGGTGTGTGCTTCCTTGGGTCCAACTTCTTTGGGACTCTCTGAGCTTCTTGGACTTCCTGGAAGTCTATTTGCTTTGGCAGATTGGGAAAGGTCTCCTCCATTATTATTATTTTTTAAAACATCTTTTTGTTGTTCGAGTACAGTTTGCTGCATTTCCCCCCAGCTCTCCCCAACACCCTAGCCCTCCCCTGTTTCCACCCACCTTGTTATTGTCCTTGTGTCCTTTATAATTGTTCCTGCAAACCTTCACCTTTTTCCCATATAATCCCTTCCCCTCTCCCCTCTGGTCATTGTCAGCCTGTTCTCAATTTCAGCATCTTTGGTTATATTTTGCTTGCTTGTTGTTTTGGTGATTAGGTTCCTGTTAAAAGTGAGATCATATGGTATTTGCCTTTCACCACTTGACTTATTTCACCTAGCATAATGCTTTCCAGCTCCATCCAAGCTGTTGCAAAGAGTAGGAGCTCCTTCTTTCTTTCTGCTGCATAGAATTCCATTGTGTAAATGTACCATAGTTTTTTGATCCATTCATTTACTGATGGGCATCTAGGTTGCTTCCAGCACCTAGCTATTGTAAATTGTGCTACTATGAACATTAAGGTGTATATACTCTTTCGAACTGATGTTTCAGGATTCTGAGGTGACAATTCCAGCAGTGGAATTGCCAGGTGAAAAGGCAGTTACATTTTTACTTTCTGAGAAAATTCCATAGTGTTTTCCATGGTGATTGTACCAGTCTGTAATCCCACCAACAGCACACTAGGGTTCCCTTTTCTTCACAACCTCTCCAGCACTTCTTGTTTGTTGCTTTGTTTATGATGGCCATTCTGACTGGTGTGAAGTGGTATCTCCTTGTAGTTTTAATTTGCATCTCTCTGATAGCTAGCAATACTGAGCATCTTTCATATGTCTCTGGACCCTCTGTGTGTTCTCCTTGGAGAAGTATCTCCTTGGAGAAGTCCTTTGCCCACTTTTTAATTGGGTTGATTGTCTTCTTAGAGTGGAGTTGTGTGAGTTATTTATATATTTCGGAGATTAAACCCTTGTCTGAGGTATCATTGGCAAATATGTTTTCCCATACAGTTGGTTCTCTTTTTATTTTGATACTGTTTTCTTTAGCTGTGCAGAAGCTTTTTATTTTGATGAGATCCCATTTGTTTATTCTTACATTTATGTCCCTTGCTCTAGGGGACATATTAGTGAAAATGTTGCTGTATGAAATATCTGAGATTTTCCTGCCTATGTTCTCCTCTAGGACTTTTATCATGTCATGACTTATATTTAAGTCTTTTATCCATCTTGAGTATATTTTTGTGTATGGTGTAAGTTGGTGGTCAAGTTTCATTTTTTTGTATGTAGCTGCCCAGATCACCCAACATCATTTTTTGAAGAGGCTATTTTACTCCATTTTATGCTTCTGCCCCCTTTGTCAAATATTAATTGACCATAGAGACTTGGATTTATTTCTGTGTTATCTGTTCTGTTCCATTGGTCTATGTGTCTGCTCTAATGCCAGTACCAGACTGTTTTGATTACAGTGGCCTTGTAATACAGTTTGATATCAGGTATTGTGACCCCTCCTACTTTGTTCTTTCTCAAGATTACTGCAGCTACTTGGAATCATTTATAGTTCCATATAAATTTTGAAGTGTTTGTTCTATGTCTGTGAAATATGCCATTGGTACTTTAATAGGTATTGCACTGAATCTATAAACTGCTTTGGGTAGTATGGACATTTTGATGATGTTAATTATTTCAATCCATGAACACAGTATATGCTCCCATGTGTTTGTGTCCTCCTTAATTTCTTTCTTCAGTGTTGTGTAGTTTTCTGAGTACAGGTCTTTTACCTCCTTGGTTAGGTTTATTCCTAGGTATTTTATTTTTCTTGTTGCTATATCAAGTGGGATTTTTTTTCTTGATTTCTGTTTCTGATGTTTTATTGTTGGTATACAAAAATGTGTTTGATTTCTGAATATTGACTTTGTATCCCACTGTTTCACCATATTTATTTATTAGGTAGAGCAGTTTCTGGGTGGTGTCTATAGGATTTTCTATGTACACTATCACGTCATCTGCAAACAATGACAGTTTTGTTTCCTCCTTTCCAATTTGGATGACTTTTATTTTCTTTTCTTACTTGATTGCTGTGGCTAAGACTTGTAATACTGTGTTGAATAGGATTGGTGAAAGTGGACAACCTTGTTTTGTTACTCATCTTAGTGGGAAAGGTTATAGTTTTTGCCCATTGAGTATGATGTTGGCTGTAGGTCACTTAATATGGCCTTTATTATGTTGAGGAATTCTTCCTCTATTCCCACTTTGCTGAGTGTTTTTATCATAAATGGTGCTGTACCTTATCAAGTGCTTTTTCTGCATCTATTGATATGATCATTAGTTTTTTATCTTTGCTTTTGTTTATGTTATGT